GACAGCAGAATTCTCCCCGTCCTCAGGAAGGACTGCTGCTACCAGCTTCTCATCGGTGTTGTCTTGCAGTCAACAATTTTTAAAAATAATAGATCGATCAGTACAGTTTTAGATGTACGGAACAGTTGAGCAGATACATAGACTTCCATGTGCCTACCCCCCGGCCCCCACAAAGTTCCCTCTTTTCTTTTAATTGAGGTGTAATTGACATATGACATTGCATTCATTTCAGGTGTGCAAAATAATGATGTGATATACATGAGTGGCCAGATTATTATGACCACCCATCAGTAAAATGAAGTGAATTAGTAATGCAAATAATAATAATAACAAAACCTTGAGAGTATTTGCTTAGGAAGTTTTCAATATGCAGTATTTTTGGAAATGTCAGTGAAGTACTGATGGGGTGGTCATAATAATCTGGCTGATCGTAATAAACTGGCCACTCAGTGTATGTAGGGTGAGAATGGGAATAGCACGTGCAAAGGCCCTGGGGCAGGAGTGGGCCTGGAGTGTTCAAGGTTGGCTGGAGCACAGTGTACCAGAAGGAGCGTGATGGCAGAAGGGGTGAGTGGGGTGGGCAGGGCCAAGTCTAGCAGGGCCTTGTAAACCAACATGAGGCCTTTGGCTTCCACTCTGAGGGAGCTGAGAGGCGGGTAGCGTTCTGAGCAGAGGAGGGACAGGATCCAACTTAGGTCTTAAGAGGATCCCTCAAGGGCAGAAGGGGAAAGAGACATAAGAAGGACATAAAATCCAGGGCTGGTGGAAGCTTGGACCAGGGTGGTGGCAGTGTGGGTAGTGAGAAGGGTCAGATTCTGGATAGATGTTTGCAGTAGAACCAAAAGGATCTGCTGGTGGCTGGCTGTGGTGTGGGAGAGGAAGAGAGGAATCAAGGTCGTCACCAGAAGTTTGTGGCCAGAGCGATTAGAAGGGTATTTAGGTCGTTTCTAATGTTCTGCTTTTACAGTGTTGCAATGAAAAAATATTCCTTCTCGTTTTCTTTTCTGTCTAGAAAACCTTAAAGGAAATGTTTCCTATTGAGGCTGGGGACATCAACCCAGAGAACAGGATCATCCCCCATCTGCCAGGTGAGGGGCTGAGTCACCTGAATGGGGTCCCCTGTCCTGGCTCCCCTCCCCTGCCCTCCAAGGTGCCCCCTCTGCCCTTGCCCCTGCTTGGACTGGACCTCGAGAATGTGCTCACTGTTTCTCTGCTGCCCCTCCCTGATCCGGTCAGCACCGAGGTGGTTTGATGGGCAGCGGGCAGCCGAGAACCGCCAGGGCACGCTCACCGAGTACTGCAATGCACTCATGGGCCTGCCGGTCAAGATCTCCCGCTGCCCACTGCTCCTTGACTTCTTCAAGGTGCGCCCCGACGACCTCAAGCTCCCCACCGACAGCCAGTGAGTGCCTCCTTTCCTGTTCCGGGGCAGGTGGGACAGGAAATGGGGTGGTAACCGCCCCCCAGCAGGGTGGGACTTCCCCCAGGTTACAGGTTAGGAGGCTGAAGCTCAGAGAGGGGCATTGACTTGCCCGAAGTCACACAGCCAGAAAGAGAAGGAGGCAAAATTCCAGCCCTGCAGCGTGTCAGCATCCTTTCCAAGTCTCCACGTGGACCCCTCTGAGCGTCAAGGCTGCAGGAGGCACTGGGGAGCAGGGGTCCAAAAGCTTTTTGAAAACAGTTTACCCATGTGTGATGGGGCAGTGAGGGCCAAATGTAGTCCCAGGTGCTACGGAGAGCAGCGGTTCTCAACCTGTGGGCAGCGACCCCATTGGCG